GGGGACCGTCAGGGCGTGGGTGCTGCCGCAGGGCGTGGGGGCGGGGGCACAAGGTGCACCGGCCCTGTAAAAGGGAGCCGGATTAAGCCAACCACCACAGTTTGACAGTTGCCGCTGTGTATTACAGTTATTCATGCCACTGTCTATCCTAGTGATACACTGTGAGGCATTGTCTGTAAAGATTGGCTGAATCTGGATTTCAGTGCGCTAAGCTTCAGGGGTGCCCTGATATTGAGGTGTTTGTTCAACTCATCAGCAAGCCAGGGGCCATTTGCAAACCGTGAATCCAGTCCCATGTTTGACTTTTAACCTCCCCAGAAGGGTGGCTGAATCCAGGGTCTTGGTTTGGGCCTGTTGTGCACTTGAGTTCTCTAGAACTTTGTAGGCATTAATCCGTGCCAGAAGCAAGCCATTTGAGATGCGCTTTCTCGATCACCCGTGACAGGTGGCAAACTTGGCAGCGATGGGGCGAGCTCTTGCATCCATAAAGGAATTATGGGTCAGTGAAGTCCCATGGGCCTAAATGAGCCGACATCTGGAATTAGGAGTAATTTGTTGGCTGGACTGTGACAGCAGGGAAGGTCTCTATGCCCATCGCAAGTGAACAGGGCAGCGATCAACTGGATCCCTCGAAAGAGACGGCGTTTCGGAAGATACTGGCAGTACATAAAACCTCTACGGTGCACAGACTATGGGATCTAGCCCACAGTTGGGTTTTATTTATATACTGCCTTGTTCACGTATGGATAGATAGATAGTTACATGGTTTCCATGACAATCTTTGCTCAAACTCCATTACAAAGCCCCATGACTACTTGTAGGGCCCAATTCTGCTCCTGCTGACAATCAGTGGGAGCTGGGCGCCTAACTCAAATAGGCTCCTTTGAAAATCCCATCCTATAATGGGGGCAGGCTCAGACTAGTTGAAGCCTGGAGACCCAGGAGCCGGGCCAGGACTCAGGCCCTGTTGTATGCAAGAGGCCAAACCCTTTCCCCAGACCCCAACCCAATGTATCCACCTGGGTGGTCGGGAATCCCCCTGGGGAGGAATGCACGGGCTGATTCACAGCCCCTGCTCCACTCCAGGTGTCCCCTCTTCCATAAAGGCCTTACAGTGGATGTAAATTACAGTTATACCCACAATAAGGGCCCTTTGCACTGGAAGGGTGGCCCAGTCGTTACGGAACTAGCCTAGGCCCTACTCTAGCACCTACGTCCTCTGTGACCTTGGGCAAGTCACTCCCTCGCTCTGTGCCTCAGTGTCCCCATCTGTACCATGGGGATAATAGCATCACCCTGCCCCCCCCCCGGAGGGCTGTGGAGATAAATACATTAGAGTCTGTGATAACGGGGGTCATATAGGTGCATAGGTCAGGTGGAGGCTGCATAAAGGGGCCGTAGTATAAATGAGAATCAGGCCCTGAAAATGCCTTCTCTTCTGAAGGGGTTGCATAAACATACTGTGGGTTGAAGCGGCCGATGAGCTAGGCTAGCAGTCCATGTCCGCCAGTAATTGTCTGGGTTCCAGGCTGCTGTAGCCTGTGCCCTGAAGTTTTGTGCTTTGATGGTGTTTTCCTGATCACCTCCTCACAATGGGTGAGGCTCAGCAACAGGGGATGTGGCTTCTTTGCCGTATCAGAAACCTGGGACTGGCTCCTGCATCAGCTGGTGGTGCATGCTGTCATAATACGCCAGGTTAAAAATAGAAAGTGCTAATCTTTATCCTCCAGAACTTTTGTTGTGCCATCTTCCAAAAGGCACTGAGAGCTAATGCGATTGCATCTGCTAATCTAGAGACACACGCCCACTCGCTTCCAGACGCTCCGGCGCCCGCACGCACACGCACACACAAAGGGACACAAGCGCGTGCACAAAGATGGAGCGCCCCTTGCTGATGCTGGTGTGGAGCAGTCGGGCTCGGCGGGGTTAACAGGGGGACACCGGTGTAAAAACGATACGGAAGGTGGAGTGTGCCTGAATTTTAGCTCAGCAGATCGTGTGCAGTGATTTGGCACCACTTGGAGTTGATTTTCGAGGCAGGGAAACAAGACCAAAGCCACGTTTTTCAACACAGAACTAGACATATTCTTTCCTCCAGCCTATGCCCGCTGTCTGGTCCAGTGCACAAGTGGTGGGGAGGGGTGTTAGTCAGGGCAGGGATGTGAACAGTTGTGAGAGTCCAAGGGAGAACTGTAGCTTTTTCTGACACGTTTGTCTGCAGATGATGGCCACCGTGGGGTGTGTGTAACCCGCTGCGTGGCACAGAGCTCTCTGCAAACCCACCCCGCAAGCCAAGCAGTGAGATCTTATTCGTCTCGCAAGACGGGGCGAAAGGTTTGGTTCTCTTGGACGGGGAAGGGGGTTCTTGGGACTTATGGTCCGGGAGGGGGCCCTGATTTTGGAGGCCCAGTTTAAGACTCCCGAGGAGCTCGATTTTCAGAGCTGAGCGGCTACCTCTGCTGGTGATTTCCATTGGTGTTGTGGAAGCCCTGCCCAAGCTGGCTCACGTGGGGATCCCACCACTGCCAGAAGAAAATCTGTCTGGGGATTAGGCCTGCTTTGAGCAGGGGGTTGGACTAGATGATCTTCTGAGGTCCCTTCCAACCTTGATATTCTATGAAACACTGAGGAATCCCATACCCATCACTATATTAGGGAGCACTAAGCCCATGGGGGGGTCATTAACAGGTTCCTTACAGCACATGTTGCAATTTCATTGTGTGTACAACTTTTAAAAATTGTAACAGTGCCTAGCGCTCAGGCTGTGATTTCCAGGGGGCTAAGAAAGTTGGGGGCTCTGCCCCCCCGATTGAAATCCCCCAGGAATTAAGGAGGAGATTTTCATAAGGGTCTAAATAGAGGCGCACAAGGCAGATTGACTTTGAAAATCCCAGACTAGGGTAGAAATCAAAGGAGCAGGTTTTCAAAGTTGCAAAGGACGGTTAGATAGAATTTGACCTTCAATGGGAATCAGGTCCCTGAGATAGTTATATGACCCCGCATCACTGTAGGACCTGAGCAGCCCTCACAATCTTTAATATAGTGATCCTCACAACCCCCCAACTCCCCGAGATAGAGTGCTGTTATACAAAGGAGAAACTGAGGCAGACAAAGTGACGTGCCCAGGGTTACACAGGAAGCCAGCAGCAAATCACGGATTTGAACCCAGGTCTCTTAACTGCCAGGCTAGTGTTCTAACCACATCCTTCCTCTCAAAGGGTAGGTGGACGCCTAACTCCAAAGTGTGCCACTGGAAGGTGCCCTCAAAAATAAATGAGTATACTACTCTGACATCAGTACTGGGTGGACTACAGACAGTGTTCTAGCATCGGGCGTGGGGCTCTGGAGATATGCAGTGCAGCTCCAACAACAGAAAACAATTCTAAGCACACACAGAGAGTTACACCACACATGCTATAAATGTATAAACCCTGAGTGGTTCTAGCAAAGCCATCCTACCGGTAGCCAGTCTGGAGCGGAAGACCTTTGTCGGCTGTGGCCCGCCACTGACAGTTGCTACTTTTTGCTTCGTAGGTCAAAGATGAAAAAAACATCCAGGAAGTGTTTGACCTGAGTGATTATGAGAAATGCGAAGAGCTCAGGAAGTCCAAAAGCAGAAGCAAAAAGAACCACAGCAAGTTCACGCTAGCACACTCCAAACAGCCTGGAAACACGGTACAGCTTCCTACGCAGCTGGTGCTCACCTTCACCAAGAGATCAGGCTGTATTGACTATGGCAGCATGAGTCAACAGCCCAATCCCCTCCTTTGTCTTTCTCCAAGATCTAGTGTCTCCCCCTCCCCCAATCCCTAAATTATTGGACTGGGCACAGGAATCCCTGAGAGGAATTCTCTGGCCAGAGGGCCAGCCTAGATCATCACAATGGTCCCTTCTGGCTTTAAGACCTATGAACCTCCATCTGTTGGAGGCAGTAGACCCTGCAGTGATGAGTGATGGCCAGGGAGTTTTTGCCATTGACTTGTAATGGCAGCAGAACCAGGCCTCTGGCCTCTATAATTAAATAAGCCAATCATTTAACTCCAGATCCTTGGAGTGAGATGTTGTGAAGGCCAAGACTACAACAGGGTTCAAAAAAGAACTGGATAAATACATGGAGGATAGGTCCAGCCAGGATGAGCAGGGATGGTGTCCGTAGCCTCTGTTTGCCAGAAGCTGGGAATGAGCGACAGGGGATGGATCACTTGATGATCACCTGTTCTGTTCATTCCCTCTGAAGCACCTGGCATTGGCCACTGTCGGAAGACAGGATACTGGGCTAGATGGACCTTTGGTCTGACCCAGTATGGCCGTTCTTATGTAGTCTAAAGAAGGGACAGGCAAAGCATTTGGGATTGTCTCAACGTGGACCAGAACCTTCACCAATAACTGAACCATTTAGCGAAGAGTGGAAACATTTCAGCTGTTAGTGGCAGTCGTGGGTTGGCTGGTTGGGTGTGTGTCTTCCCGAGAAATAAAACAGACCCCCCAGTCTGGTTCTCTGCTACCATAAATCGTGTCCTGGGTGGAGCTGCGCTGGTTTGCGTTAGCGGAGAATCCGGGCTTTGTGCATATTCCCACACCCTTTTCTTGGTGGTTTCACTGTGGCCGGAGACCGAGCCGACGCTCAGGCGCTGCACACAGCACTGACATGAATTCCCTCTCTCCTAGGCACCAAATCTGATCTTCCTGGCCGTCAGTCCGGAGGAGAAAGAGTCCTGGATCAACGCCCTCAACTCCGCCATCACCCGAGCCAAAAACCGCATCTTAGATGAGGTGAGAAGTTCTCTCGGGGCTGGGCCCCAGCTCCGTTGTCTCAGCCTTAATCTTCAGTGAAGCCTTTGGCTTCAGCGCTCCTGCCTAAGGTACGTCTGCACAGCAGCCAGTCTCCCAGCCTGGGCCAGCAGACCGCTAAAAATAGCTGTGTAGAGGTTGTGGCTCGGGCTGTGACGCCTGGGGTGGGCTTCAGAGCACGAGCCACGACTTACCAGCACAGTCTGCACCACTATTTTTAACACAGTAGCATGAGCTCTGCTGTGATCCTGACTCTGTCAGCCCGGGAGGCTGGCTGCTGCGAGCTGCCGTTGGCTGTGTAGACGAACCTGTGGTGGGAAAGGCCCCCCGCGCTTCCGACCCCAGCGCAAGCACATCCCTCTTTCTCAGCCTCAGACCCAATGGTGCAAAGCCGCTGGGCTTTGGCTAATGGCAATCGGCGCGTGGGGGGATCGGCGATTGCCACGCTGGCTCTGGCGGACACTCTGTGACCATCTAGCGCATAATAAGCCAGCAGTGATTACATGCCGTGCTGCATGACTTCCATATGCCGCGGGCAACTCCTAGGGGCTGGCTATCCCGGGAGAACAGCCTCCTGAGACGTAGCCCCATAAAGCACCCAGGGGGTCACCTGGACAACAGACGAGATGCGAGGCCCATCTTGCCCTCACTAAAGTGCACAGGAATCCACCCTATTGTCTGTCTTGTCCGTTTAGACTGTGAGCTCCTCGGGGCAGGGACTGGCTCTAGATAAGTGTCTGCGCAGGCCCTAGCTAATAGCCAAGGAGGAATTTGGGCCTTGTATTTTTAACTACCCGGGGAGTAGCGTCCCCCGCCCCATCCCTCCCACCTCCCCATTTAAGGTCCCTTCCCATGGCAAGTGTGATGCAATGGGGTGAAGATGAGAATGAGGCCCTGAGCAAGGCCTTGCCTGCACCCAGAAGTTGCACCAGGTTAACTCAGGCTGGTTTTTAAGCCAGTGAAAAGCCCTATGTGGATGCATGTCAGAGACTGAGGCGAGGATGGGTCAGGCCTAGAGGTTGGAGCGGTGGCAGTCAGGCCCGGGGGTCAGAGCTGGAATCAGAAGTCAAGAGCAGGGTGGGAACAAGGTAAGAGTAGAGCTGGGAGCTGGGCTGGAGCAGGCTAAGGCCCATGAAGTCTGTCACTTCTCTCCGGCACGGGACGATTCCAAGCCACGAAGCTACGTTGGGCATACTGAGCTGCTCTTTCTCCCGTGAGGCTTATATACCCGCCTTGAGAGTCACCTGACCAGCTCCCAGCTTGGGGATTGGCTGCAGTCTAACACAGGAATGACTCATCCCCTTGTGGAGTTCAGGGGTGACTCATCACCTCACAGTGCACTTGTATCATTTTAAATCTGGCTGTCTCCGTTCAGCTTGCGCTGGTAGGCGTGGTGTGCGCACAGGTAACCGGACAGGCCAATCCAGCTGTTCACCAACGCGCTGTGCGATAGCAGCAGGAGGACGAACTGTAGGGGCATAGGCCAGCATGGGGATATGATCTCACTCCTGTTACAATACGGTCACTTCCAAAGTGGCTGAATTATTGTGAACTAAAGTGCGGGATGAACCCAAACAAGGTTGTTTGTGTGAGGATGCGAGGGAGTTTCTGCTGGAAAAAGCAAAGATGTATTGGTCCAACTTCGCCATGCAAATAAGGCCTACATTTACCAGCACAAGCAAAACTGATGCAAACCAGGTTTAAAATTGATAGGAGTGTCCACACGCAAAGTGGCATCTGTTTAACTACGTCAGCATAAAATTGCACCTTTATCTAAACTGGTACAAGCAGCTCTCAGTCTGGGAAAGGAATGCTCTTGCATATGGCTTGCCATGGCAGATATGGGGTCTGCAATTCAAAGGAGGGCCTCGAAATGGTTTAATAGCCTAGCAGGTGGTTTTACCCTTGCCTGTCCCTCACCTAGGTGTGATGCCCTGTGATCAATCCAGCCCACGTTCACCCATAATTCAAGTCTAGGGACTTCCCTATTGTGAATTGTTTTACACTGAAGCTGGTCAGATAATACGGTGATGGGTAGCAGTATAAAAACCTCAGATAAGTGGCTAGAGTCTCATAATTCTCTTGCCTTTGGCTCCACCAAAAGCTCTACCAGTTAGCGGTCTGCAAACGCCTTTCAAGAGCAGACAGCACATCACATGAATCTTTGCCAGTGTCTGGAAGGTTCGGATGAGTTACCGCCAGTGGAATTCTTTTGCCCGTCCCAAATAATTGATTCCACTTCAAAGCAAGTTTTGATTCAAATGGTGTTCGGTGAACATTAGAGCTCTTGGGTTTCGCTGGTGCATTTCATAATGCAAAGCTGGTTTTTTTATTAGCTGGCATATTTGCCAGGGCTGACCTGCAAACTGTATGTTTGACTGTCGGATTTGCAGTTTGCAATTCAAACAATCTGCCGGCCGAGAGTTCCTCCCTGAAGAAATGAGCAAATTTTTCTGTACAGTGGCAACATTGGAAAATGTTGCCATCAGCTCGTGGACAGATCGCACATGGAAAGACAAAACTGGTTAAATAAATTATGCACCAGGAATTATCGACCCGGCTCCTGTTACAGAGGCAGGGAGTGATGGCTTGTGGTTTGCATTTCTCAGGCACTGGGATGCTTGATGACCTTTATTGTCCTTGCAGGTGACTGTTGAGGAGGACAGCTACCTCGCCCATCCGACCCGCGACAGAGCGAAAATCCAGCACTCCAGACGGCCTCCGACACGGGGACACTTGATGGCTGTGGTATGTAGGCTAAACCCCGGGCACAAGTTCAGATAGATCATCTACGACGTTAGCAATCCCTTATATATTTATTTATTTTGAAATGGATGGAAGAAGATACAGAGTCTTTTATCTCTGGGTTGAAATGCAACCCGGGTTGGTGAGGACTGACGGCTGTTTCCTGGCCTGTGTGAACTGAAAAGGCATGTCTTATTCTAGTTCCTAGTACAGAAGTGCCTTACAGGTGGGAAACTGAGGCATGGGGTGGATTAAAAGACTTGCCCAAGGTCACAGGAGGAGGATGTGTCTGAGCTGGGAACTACCCCCGCCCCCCACACCATTCCTCCTGGTGCCTGTTTCCACGCTGGCAGGGGTGGGCTAGATGGGCTCCTTAGAAATGCACAGAGAGGTTGATTAGAGCCATTGTTGCTGTGACGCTCAAAGTAATGGGTGGGCGGCCTCTGCATCCATCTGCTCACAGTTCCCGCCTTTCTCTCCACGCTCTGCAGGCATCTACCTCAACGTCGGATGGCATGCTGACACTGGACCTCATCCAAGAGGAAGACGCCTCTCCTGAGGACCACGGGACCTGTGAAGAGAGCTTCCGGGTAGATCTGGATAAGTCCGTGGCGCACCTCGCTGCCGGACGGCGCCGGTCGGATTCGGAGAACATCAAGTCCTCGGAGAAAGGCCGGTCCGTGAGCCTGCCAAGACGGGAGGCGATCTCGTGGGACAAAACTGGGAAACGCAATGACGCCTTCGAGAAAGGGACCATGTACACCCCGCAGGTCCCCAAAAAGCTCTCGCACTCGGAAAAGAACAAATGTGCCTCCATGGAGGAGATTTTGTCTCGCCGGGACTCTTCTGCGCACCGGGCAGTGCTGAGGAAGGGGCTGGAGGCTCAGTTTGCTTCGGGGGAGCCCGAGCAGCTGGCCCGGATACAGGAACTGGTTGCACTGAAACTGGAAAAAACTCAGGAACTGCTGGCGGAGGTGAAGGGCTATGGGGAAGGGAAGCGAAAGACAAAAGATTTCGCCACTGCTGCCACCACCACCTCTTCCTCTTCCAAGTCGGACTCTGAAAGCATCTTGCAGGAGACGCAGAGGTTGCTGGGCGAGGCCTCCTCCACCTGGAGCCAGGCCAAGAAGGTGTTACAGGAGATTAAAGAGCTAAGGGACCTGTACAAACAGTTAGAACTGCAGCCGTCGGACCCTAAACCCAAACAGATCTCACAGTCTCAGTACAGGAAGAGCATGATGTGAAGGCACGCTTCAGGGTGGGGCGGTGGTGATTTCTTTTTATTATTATTTACAGTGTTCGAAACAGTACAACGTGCCTGTTCTCATCAAAACTTGCTCCTCACGCTTGACCCCTTCCCCTCCCCAGATCTTCCCCTGTCCCCAGATGAAACAAAAGGTGTTCCAATAAATCAGTTTGGATTCCTATTTTTTTTCAAAGTATCCTTTCTCTGCGTTCTTGGGCTGCTCGTGTCATGCTTGCAGGATGGAAGATCACCAAGACCTGGAAAGCTCCCGGCATACTTGTGGAGACATACGCACAGCAGCCGGGGTAGATCTTCTCCCTCTATAGAAGCCCTGGGTTTGCTGCTCTGAACCCAGAGCTGCGGTTCTGTGTCCAGCGTTACAGCTCCTTGATCAAGAGCGTTGGCAACTTAGTTTATGTTTTTCCTCCTCTTTAAAAAAGAGTCAGCACGTGGAGGTCCCCGTTATCCAAAAACTGTTTGGAAGATGCTTGCCAGTGACATCCAAGCCAGGGTTGGAATTCCGCTGTCAGAACGAGGAGATTCACGGCCTGGAATGCAGTCTGACGCGTCACGAGAGGCATCGGGCGCTCCTTCCTGGACTGCAGTTAACAGGGCTCTTCCCTGGCGTCCCTGCACTGATCCCAAACCCTCTTTTGCAAACTCCTGTGGCAGGCAGCTGTTAATACATGTGGTACATATACAGCCCTCCCTACGGAGGCAACAGGTATGCAATCTGTGTTAAAACTAACCCTGTCTGTAGGCTGACAGCCGATGCTTCGGAGACACCCCCTGGCCCAGTGCAATGAGATTTAGCAACCACAATGTCTTCCTTCTTGTGCAGATGATCAAAGCCTGGAGTCCAACGGGCAGTCATTATTTGTTTTTCATTGTTCTTTCCTTCATTTAGGCTGGAGTGAAATGGAAAGTCAGGGTTTGGCACAGAGGGCAACAGAAAAGCTGAGAATTGCAGTTGGTTTAATGGGCCTGATTCTGCTCTCGCTCACACTCCGTTTACACAATCGATCCTCACACCATTGTCACTTAGCTGACACCGATGTGAGGTCAGTATCAGGCCCACTGAAACTCAAACGGATCCCAAATTAGAGCTCAGATATCCTCGCCTGGCTGATGTCTAGCACTTTTCTAAATAGGTGGCTCAGCTTTCATGCACTTAAGCAGCAGGACAAGAGGGAAATATGCGAAGATTTCTCTCAGGGCTTAAAGTACACTGGCAAATTAACATCAGTTGTTTTTTCCAAGAAATCTAATTTCCTTGCCTATGTTGCAAAGAACCCCTGAGAATATTAAAAACAACTGAGTTTTAAATGACTAATTTCCTTTTCACTGTTTACATTTTGTACCTCTCACATATTTGAAATGAGAGGAGTTATGTTGACGTCTGTGTCTGGTCAGTTTCACTCATATTGCCGGCTAAGGCTGTGATGTTTGGGTTGCAAATGCTGCAAGGAAATGTTGATCTGTGTTTTTTAAAAACTCCCACCAGTTGGAATTAAATAACATTGGTGGAAATATTTCTATTGGCCTGAGCTTCTTTAACAGCTGGTGGTTGGCAAAGCTTAAATTTGGGGCCCAATTTCACCTGACAATGTCCCTTTAAGTTATTCATGACTCTTTTCAAAACCTATCCTTCAAACGGCAGAAGAATCTCTGGCTCATTTCAGTTCTTATCACAAAGCCACACAGTCATGCTGTCGTGATAGAAATGGGGAGATTTGGCTTTTACAGAATTTACAAGAAGTATCCTTTTCTTGATTTTTTTTTAAACATGTTGGACCATTCAACGGGTGAATTTTTACAGTCAGTGGAATCAGATTTCATCCCTTAAAAAAAAAAAGGAGAGATTTAAAAAAAAAAAACCTGACATATAAGCCATTCTGACAGTGCCCTTCTATGTCATCTCTCTTTGATCCAGAAGGAAACAAGAAAAAAAAACTTCAAATAGTTTTCAGATATAATGTTAAGCATTAAAAATAACCCGGTTCTCAAAATAGAAAAGCTGTTTTAAAATCAGAGGTTCTAATTACACTGGATTAGCCTGGACATGTGTCATGAGTGGGGTTGAGATTCTAGGCACTGGAATAATATCAAAACACTTGATTGGGTTATATAGTTCTAGCAAGATGGCCAAAGTCTCAGGTGCATATGGGGGTCACTGAACACACCCGAGAATCCCACAGTTATGTAGAACCTTGTTCCTTCAAAATCGGTCTTGTGCAACCTGCCAAGATAGTGACAAAAACTGCTTGGTTAACAGGGGTGGTTATCTGACTATAGGAAAAACAAAACAGTCCTAGAGACTTTGCAGGTGTCTTGAATAGTCACCTAAGACAGGGGTGGAGTTGCCCATTGGAAGTGGGGCTTGGTGCAAGTTTCACTCTATGGGAGTAATTATCCAGGGTTCCAGGCAGGTTTGTTCAGTAGTTCTGCTACCTTGAAGCTAGCTTGGGCATATCTACAGGAATGGTGGTTACACCCTGTGGCTGCAGTGTAGACATACTCTGTGTATTTACGGAGCTAAGGAGTTCCAGCACCTTGGCAGGAGACCACCTGTCGGTTTGGAAGCAGGTGTGTCCTACAATGAAAACTCACATGTCACATAGTTGTTAGAGCTGGGCAAAATTTTGCAAAAGGTTCTAAGCTTGGGACCAGGTTTTGCCGAGCTTCACCAACCTTCCTGCTAACCTACGGTGGACTTCTGGGCAAATGGGGGCGGGCAGAGTTATGGTTTGTGGACGGAACCATTCCGTATGGATTTGCCTGGTTTTGACCCTCGAATTGGGCAGTTGTGGGTTTGGTTCAACCCAAAACTCCCGTGATACAAACCCGGTGAAGTGAATTCAAAAAAGAAACCATCACACTAGTGCCCCTGAAAACCAAACCAGGCAAGTTTCATACCGCCCTAGCCACGGCATTTATGTCTGGACATCATGATTCTACATCAGCACAGAGTCATGATGTGATGCTGTGAGATCACGGTCTCCTCATCATGCCAGAGTGACATTGCTCTTATCCCGGAGCATCCCAAAAGGTAGGATACAAAAATTACCCAATCAAAAACTGGGATGAGTGGCGACTCGAAGGAATTGGAATCTTCCCTATCCAATCAAATTCCTAAAGTCTCCCCTGCCCATGACCTCAGAGGGGATGTTGGGGGTGGGAGGGGAAGAGGTATGGAGGGCCATCTCCCACTCCTTGGTTCTGCACCTGGGTCATGAACATCGCCATGGTTTTCATGACTCTTCCGCGCCTTGGGCTCCCCCAAAATGCCTATGGCAGCTGCTTCTGACATCAGTGAAGCCAGGATTCCACCTTCTGACTTGAAGCAGAGCTAACTTTATGATTTTGAGGATCCCAACAAAGGGGTTATTTTTGAGGTGCTCATTCCCCTTCTATCTCCCAACTCCATCTCTCCTTCTCCCTCCCTGGTCGATGAGCCTAGAGAGCACTTGGCTTTTACAATCCCATGCTGTGGCACAAAGAGAGGCCCCAAAGCTGGCCAGGCCTGTCCCACTCCTTTGGCCTTTTCCCCACCCAGCAGCGTTGCCAGAGAATTTGGTAAGGCAGCACGTTCGCATTATCATTTATTATTTGTAGAGCAAGCTGGAAATTTTTCAATGGAATGTTTTTCCTTTGGAAACCAAAACTTCCCATGGGAACATGTCTATTTTGATAACATTTTGTTTCAGGGGGGAAAAAGTGAGGGGGAAAACAAGAGTTTTGATGAGTTCAAAACATTCTGTTTTGACATTTTCAGAATGGAACACGTCAGTATTTAGTTTTGAAATTTGTATTATAAAAACGTAAACACATTTTAAAACGCCAACACTGAAACAAGAGAGACAAGGTGGGTGAGGTTGTATCTTTTATTGGACCAACTTCTGCTGGTGAGAGAGAGAAGCTTTCATGCTTACACAGAGCTCTAAAACATTTCAATTGGCCCCAAATCAAAACTTTTTCAGCAATGTCATTTTCTGGAAATTTTTGAAATTCTTTGGTTTTGTTCTAGTTGGTAACTACGCAAATTTAGAGATCACCGAATTTCCTGCAAAACAGAAATTCCAGTTCCCACGCAGCTCTAGTCAGGTATCAGGACTCACTGTGCAAGATGCGGTACATTTTTATTGCTGGTAGGTCTATTACAGTAGCGCCTAAGAGTCCCAGTCATGGATCAAGTCCCATGGCGCTAGGTGCTGTACAAACACAGAACAGAGAGACAGACCTTGCCCCCAACATGGGATATAAGTCCCCCTCCATTCACTTTTAATCTCTTTTATTTTATTTTAAATTTCACCAAATGTTCCCCATTTGTCAATCCCTTTTGTGGGATTACAGAAAAGCCAAATACAAGAGAGAGTGGCATGTGTGGGGAAAACATGCCAATCAGTTTAGCACTGCTGTTACGTTCCTTCCCGAGCACATCTTCCCGAGTTAAAAACAGCATGAGGAGTTGTGGTGGGGAAGGGAGATAATGTGTGGGAGGAATGTTCGTGATGACTGGGGGTCTGCGTAGGGAGGAGGTGGGGTAAAGAGACCAAGGGGTGTGATTCTCCATTCCCTTGCATTTTGTGCAGTCATTTGTGTCAGTGCAAAGTGGGTGCATTTTACACTCATTATGCACTGATACAATTGACTGAACAAGGGGCAGGGCAAACAGAGAACCCGGCCCCACATCCTGTGTGTCTTTGATTCATCTGATCTTTCACAGCAAGTTGCAATTTTTGGTTTTAAACCTTCTGTGCATCAAGAAACAAAAAATTGAGCTAGTTTCACTGATGCTCCATAGTCGGATCTTTTCAATCCAGCTGTGCATATTGGGAAGCAGCGTTGCCTAGTGGATAGAGCATTGGACTGGGACTCAGGAGATCTGCATCCTACTCCCAGCTCTACTGCTGGGTGAGCATGGGCAAGTCACTCTCTGCCTCAGTTTCCCCAGCTGTGAAATGGGGAAAAAGGTACTGACCTTCTCCGTAAACCACTTGGAGATCTACTGATGAAAAGTGCTCTGTAAGAGCTAGATATTATGATACTATGACTAGCTACTCTCTGGTTTATAAGGCATTGCACACTACTGTGGAACGTTTGCATTGGTATTAGGTTTTCTGGTTCTGGAGTGATTGCATGGACATTGTTTTCATTGTATAGCTAAGGGACTGTCTGACCAAGGTTGCCAGTGGAAGCTCTGATGGCCCTCAGAGCAAGCCTGCATGCTCATGTCTCTGTTATACTGTATCCCATGCTCTTGAGGTCAAATTCCAGTCCTGCGCTTCATGCCATATCAATGCCAGGGGCAAATTGAGGAACCAAGGGCTACACAGAGCATGGCTGTAGTGAATGGGTTTGCAACTGAAGGATTGTAACTCCCAAAAGACAAACCCAACAATCATCCAGGGAAGGGAATCAGTCTCCTGTTCTCACTGAACTGCCACTGAAATCAGTGCAAACTATTCTGGGGGTATGTTGGGAGAATAGGGGACCTTATAGTTTCCCCCCCCCCACCTTCCTCTGCAGGGATCATCCATACATCTCAGCTAATCACTTCCCTGCCATTGCAAGAGCTTGGGGTACTGGGGGCACCTTGGCCCCCGTCATTCTCTGCCTGTGGTGCAGTTTTGTTTCCTGCAGACTGGAATGTTTTGGTCTAACTAAAATCTTTGGGAGCAGCACAGGGGTAACTGGGTGAAATGTGATATACAGGAGGTCAGACCAGATGATCTATCTGATGGTCCCTTCTGGCCTTAAACTCAAGGAGCCTGTGAAACAGCAGGGTGAGGAAATACGGCTTGACTCCCACGACACAAAATGTTCGGTGAATAACGCGGTGGCCATGGTGCCCTGATTCTCCATTGCCTGCACCGTGTGTGATTCACCCCTGTGCCAAGTGGGCGTACAACGCTACCGAATCAGAACAACAGCGTTTGCACCCACTTTACACTGGTCTAAATGGGGTGCAGGATGATGGGGGGGGGAATCAAGCTTGGGGGCTTCAAAGCTCGTTTTTCACTCAGCGCGGTACGTCCATCTGTCAGCTCTGCACTCAGCTAGCTGAGACGAGCTCGTGTTTAGCTTGAGCTAAAAAGACAGAGCAGAAGGCTTAGCTTTAAAATTCCTCTGTGGCTTTATTTCATGAATTCACTGAGTTTCAAAAATGGGTCCGGAATCGCCCCCGGCACCGGGCAACCACATATCCCTGGCTCTAATTGCCGGCAAATTGTCATTAAGACCGAAAAAAAGGGGTCATGAAGAATGGCAGCATGGAAAACGCTCCATGAAGGGGTCTTTTATAGCCTTGCTCCCCACCCACTAAGATCAAATCAAGGGGAGAATATGCCCAGAAGCCAATCACTTTTTGTTTTTTTGCATGCCTCTTACTTAAATCTTGCTGCTGGCTCCTTGATTCTCACTGCACCTGCCAAAACCCAGTCACACTGCAATGAAATCATCGCGATAGATGGCAGGCACTGCTGCGCCTCCTGGTCTCGGCAGGTGGAGGACACCTCGAATGGTACATTCAGGAGCTCAGCAGTCGTGTTCCACCTGCATGTACCTGGGCATTCAGCACAGCGGGTGGGTTCTCCCTGAAAAGAGCAAGATGGCTAGGTATAGTCAAAGGGTTAAAAAGAAATGGGTAATCAAGGTTTTTATTAAGTTGGATTTAAAAAACGAGATCCACTTTGCATAGAGCCCTTCATGCCAAGCCTGAGCTGGCTAAAATGGCATAGCCCAAGAAGGAGAGCACTTGATAGGAGCACCACCAAACCACAGCAGATGCCTATGGCTCCCATGAGCACAGCAGTGCAGCGACAGCATGGGCCCTTTGGTTGTCTCTCCAGGGAGTGGAGGCATCTGGAGGGTTGGTTTGGAACTGGGGAAAATGCAGCCCCTGAAAAATTTCACACCCTGAGCACTGCACTTAGGTCAACCTCACCCCCAGTGTAGAAGCAGTTGGGTCGACAGAAGAATTCTGCCATCTGGTGAAATCCATGTCTTTTTGCGTATGTTTTAAGAAAGCATCACAGACGCTAAGATTGTTTTCGGCACAATATTCAAGACGTCTTGTGCCACTGTCTGTCATTGTTCCAGTTTTATGTGGGCCGATGACTTTCCCAACCTCATCTGAAGAAGTGAGGTTCTTACCCACGACAGCTTATGCTCCCAATACTTCTGTTAGTCTCAAAGGTGCCACAGGACCCTCTGTTGCTTTTTACAGATTCAGACTAACATGGCTACCCCTCTGATACTTTCCCAACCTCTTCTTTCACTTCTGATCTGGGCATTAAAATCTCCCATAACCAGGACAAGATCGTGGTTTGATATTTCTTTCATTACATCGTTCAATGCTGCATAGAACCGCTCTTTGTCCTCTTCATCTGCATCGTTTGTTGGAGCCTATGCCTGGACTATGGTGCACTTAATGTGCCGAGAGTGGAATCTAGCTGCCAGTAGCTTATCTGATATTGGCTGCCAATTCATAAGTGATTTCTTTGCAGCGCTATTCCTGATGATTCCTACACCTCTCTCATGTTCGGTTCCACCTGAATATAACATTGTTTTTTTCTCCAGATGTTATCATACCTTGCTCTTTCCATCTAACTTCACAAAGTCCTAGGATGTCAATTTTATATCTATCCATTGCTTTGATGACCTGTGCTAATTTTCCTGCACTATTCAGAGTTCGTACATTCCAAGTAGCTATGGATGTACTCTTTTTGGCCAACAGAATTTGGACCATCAAGTGGGTGACTTCCCGATGGATTTGAACATCCACTGTCATAACACTTTCCATCCTCCTCAGGCCGTGATTTTTGGTTTATGTGGTTTATGTGAGTAGTTTCTGTAGCTAGAACTCTTTTTTTTTTACGGTGACGGGAAGCCGCCCCATCAACCAACTCTCCTCCTTTTTGATCCAGGTTTCGGAACCTCCTCCTTTTTGATCTGGGCTTGGGACCGGCACTGGCGGAGTTGTATTATATTATATATAAACAAAAAGTTGTTTCAGACTGAAATATTGAAATTTTTCATTCCAAACATGTCAAATCAGGATGTTTTGCTATTGTCAGAACTTTTTCCCACCCTGTTTTTCCCCCCCAAAAACGAAATTCCAGAAAAATCAATCCCATTTTGCGGGAACCTCCTATTCCAGTGGAATAGGGTTCTATCAGAATTTGTCTGCCCAGCTCTCATGACAAGGAATAGGCCATCTGGCTGTTCCTCTGTTTACATCTCCCCAGCTCTCTGCAGAACTCTATCTCACAGTTCCCCTTTGCAGTGCGACAGCTACTAGTCACCAAACCACCCGCTCCCCAGCTACTCTCGTTCTCTGCTCAAAGCTTTAAAAAACAAACCACCAGAGACCACGGTACTCCTCAGCAATGAAAATCACCAGACCACGGGGCTTTCCTGTGCAGCGCAGCTGGGAAGAGTGTTATGGCAGAGCAGTGACTCTCAAGCTCTGTTCTCACTTCGAAATCTTACCCCCTAGCCGCCATTCCACCAGCGTGTTTGTCGGGTCACGAGGGAAGGCATTAAGTGGGCAAGGCAGTCTTAAACACTGGGACTGTTGCATGCATCTTGTTGCTACTGTCTAAGGGAATTGGCTTAGTAGCTAGCGGGCTGGACTAGGAGTCTGAAACCTTAGTTCTATTCCGGGCTCTGCTGCTGCGTGACCTTGGGCCAGTCACGTCACTGCTGTGCCTCCGTTCCCCTCCCCCACCCTGTGCAAAAAGATCATTGTAAACCTGACTCTCCTTGGTAAAGCGTGTTGAGAACTGCTGTGAAGAGCTAGGGATTACTGATGTATACGACCGAGGGCCTAGAGGCCCCACCCCAGATCAGGCCCCCATTGTGCCTGGTGCTGCTCAGACCCATGTAGTTCCTGCTCCAAAGAACCCCCCGTGTGAACAGACAAGGGGTGGGATGGGGAAACTGAGGCACAAAGAGGAGTTTATACCACCTCTGTTCAGTTGAGGTCTAGATGGCATGGAGGTGAAAACACCAGTACACTAGTGCTGGCACCACCAATGCTAGAGCAACAGTGGGAGATTTTTAAAAGGCTAGTGTAGACGAGGCTCTGTTGTGGTTTTGTATCTAGTGGGTTTCACTGAGTTTAGCAATAAGCCAGACCTGGGCTTGTCTAAAACTTGTCCCCCAGGCTGGCTTGATACTCTGCCCCGATCTTGCCTGAAACCCAGCCCTGGGCTTGTTCAGAAGGTTTTAACTTCAACAAACCTGACGCAAGTTCAGGGCTCGTAACAAAACCCAGAATCTGGGATGTCCTCACCCAGCCATGCCTGTGGTGCCCTCAGAGAACTGCCTGTCCTTAAACCAGTCCCCTAGGAATGGTTCCAGTTTGCCTAAATCTCCTCCTCTGTGCAGTCTATCCTTTTATTTCAGAGAATTGCTCCCTGTATTTCTTTTTCAGGAAAATATTTCTCTCCCCCCCCCCCCACTCCTAAACACTCACATCTCTCCAAAAAAATCCCTCTTAAACCCAGTGGAGTACAGATACATCCCTATTTTGGCCTCTCCAAATGTCTCTGTCTAGTGGGAATGAACAAACCCAAATACCCCACAGCCAGTAAACAAGATGCCAACTTTTCTCCTTCCTCTGCCAGCAGACTGGGCCCCTCTGATTCTTGCAGGCTCCTATTCCTAGCAACCTTGGTGGAGGATTATTTATTTATTTTTGTTTAATTCTCTCAATAGTAGGTTGGACACTGCCAGTCCAGGCAGGCGCCAAACCCCTAAGTGATTAGTTTAGCTTTCTGCTCATATGCGCCTCCTCCTCTGCTAAACTGACACTGAATTTAAATTTGCAAGCTGGGAAATAAGCGATGGTCCCATTCCCCCTCCCAATAAACACTGACTGGCTCTCCAGAGGACTGGGAGATGGTTTGTAGCTGAGCTGTAAGAAACCACAGTGGAACAAAAGGCTGCTGGAGGAACAGAACACAGGGACGAGGATGATTATGATACAAATGGGATGGGGGAGCCACTGGGGGGGGGAGAGAGAAGAGCTTTTGGAGAAGGCAATAGGACTCTTTAAAAGCAACGAAACGAGAATACAAATAAGCACCAGCGCCAGAGGAGAAGCGGGATAATCTCTTGACAGGAGGCACATGGATCTCTCCCAAGCTGGGTTGAGAAGGGAAGAGAAAGCGAAGGTGTCATAGACCATTTCCGTCACCGCTGTCGTGGTTAGAGAAACGGAGGGAAACTGAGTGCAGTGGGCAAAGCCAGTGCTGGGCTAAGAGTATATTCCAAGCAGTTGAGACACCTGCCCGCAGATCTATTAGGGCAGGGCCCAAGGGCTAAGTTTGGTCCCATTTCAGCAGTCAGCAATTCACTCTCAGGTGCTTTGCTGGACAGGGATGCGCTTAATCACCTGCTTAAGTGTTTTACTGAACCAGGCCCCTCAAATGGAGCCTGCAGCTGCCCCTGTCGGATCCCAGGAAAGCCAGTACAATGGTGAATGGCCAGTAGTTCTGTCACAGAGTGTGGGGGCATCAGGGCCCTGCACTCCCCACTTCCTCCGATTCACCGTGACTCTCAGCCAGCCAGTAAAACAGAAGGTTTATTAGATGACAGGAACACCGTCCAAAACAGAGCTTGTAGGTACAGGCAACAGGACCCCCCTCGGTCAGGTCCATCTTGGGCGGCAGGGAGCTTAGACCCCAGCCCTGGGGCTCCGTTTCCCCAGCCAGCTCCAAACTGACACTCTCCAGCCCCTCCTCTGGCCTTTTTCTCTTACCCGGGCCAGGAGGCCACCTGATCTCTTTGTTCTCCAACATCTTCAGTTGGCATCTTTGCAGGGGAGGGGCCCAGGCCATCATCTGCAGGAGACGGTGTCGACCATTCTTTGTGCAGACTCCTGCACACCCCTGCCCTCTAGGGCTCTGCAACAATCACACACCCTTATCCCACCACCTAGATACTTAAGAAATGCAGAGGAGAAACTGAGGCACCCACACAGTATTCAGAGAAAACATTAAGAACATTCCCACTTCGTCACAGGTTCTTATTCCGGCTGAACTCCTCCAATGAGCCGTTTCTGTTCATCCGTCAAGTGTGGATGGTGCTCAGGGCCATGTGAGTTTTATTTATTTGTTACAAAAACAGAGGCAGATTGAGGTCATGACGAATTGCCACCACAGCCCCGGGCACTGCAAACTTCCAGCAGCCCCTCTTATGGGTTGCAAACTCATGATCTGGCTTCACCTGGTAAATAAAGAGACCGATTCTTTTAGTTACGAATTAGCAACTGCTCTAAAAGCAATGGGCTGGATTCTCAGCTGGTGCACCGCGGGCTTCCATGCAGCCATGCCACTTTATATCAGCTGAGGAATCTGGCCCCAGATTGTTTTAAGAGTGGTACATCCAGATAGAAAACTATTAGCATTCTGAGTGTGTGGGGGGAGAGGAACAGACCCCTCCCTGCAAACATTCCCCTAGTACTGCCACCTAAACTGAGGTTAGAGACGGACCCGCAGCACACAGTGTTTCATTAGCTGTGAGGGATGCAGTAGGCAGGCGGAATTGTAGGTAAGATCTTTATTGAGCATACCACAAGGCCAATGTTACATGCATAAAGGCCAGTGTTTGTCCAGTCGTACTCTGGCCACCTGTTTGAACCACCAAATAGGGTGCATCCTGGAACTGGACCCTCTATCTCCAGTCCCACTCATCATAGGCCACACGGAGAAAATTCTGATCTAAACTAAGTTTGGGGGGGATATAACTGGGTTTCGGTTCCAGGACTTAGGCTCAGCACATTATAGAAGCAGAGACCAGTTACAAAGCTTAGATCCCATTGGAACTTCTTCACAGTGCAAGAAAACTTGGATATTGGGATTTGATTCAGACCCATCTCTAATAAAAGTACCACCTGATCTCTCTTTCCTAGGCATAACTTCCATTTTTAGAGTGTTCTGTATTATAAAGAAGCTTTTTCCTTTTTCACTCTACTGTTAACAGACAAGTGTATTTTTGTATATCCAATACTTGAAGGAATCAGATACCACTTTCCACATCTCATTTTGATCCCTGCTATTGTAATTAAAATTCTGCTGACTTCCTTCCCCAATGTATTTCCCATCTCTCATCTGCTGTCCTACACTCACGTGCGTGAGAACTGAGACGGTGAATGAAAATCAGTCCCTCACGATTACGATACCTTGTGCCTAAAGAACCTCATGGTTCTGCCCCCAACTCAAGTAGCAAGTCCTGGCTCAGAGAGAAGAGTGGGATTTTCAAAGGAGGCTAACGGGAAATTAAGGAGGGATTTTCCAAACTGTCTAAGTGATTTAGGAGCACAAATCCTATTGAAAGTCAAGTCATTGAGGCCCAGCTCCTCAAAAGGTATCTAGGTACCTAACTAATTGATTTCAGTGGAAGTTAGGTGCCTAAATACTATAAAGGGTCTGGGCCTTAGGCACTTAGGAAAATTTCATCACTTACTCCCTTAGTTGTCTTGGAAAACCCCATCTTAAGAGTGCATTGTATCCAGGGGCCTTGAAGGTGCTACAACCTTTTGCTACAGCCACTCAATGAAGTATTTACAAATGTGATACGATTCTATTTGCAGTGTTGCTGTTGCTGTGTAGGTCCCAGGGTATGAGAGAGACAAGTTGAGTAAGATGCTCTCTGTTATCGGACCAACTTCTGTTGGTGAGAGAGACAAGCTTTTGAGCTTACACAGAGCTCTTCTTCAGGTCTGAAGCTCAAAAGTTTGTCGCTTTCACCAACAGAAGTAGGGTCGGTAACAGATAGTACCTCATCCAAGTTGTGTCTCTCTAACAGGATTATATTGTTGCTTGATTGGTCAATTCTTTTCTTTTCTCCCCATCTGTATTTTGTGTTTAAAGTTCTCCCTCTTCCTCTCCGCTTTTTTTGTGTTCCTTTCGGAAAACAATCTGCACTGATTTTTATGTAAAATAAACCTCCCACGTGTACAGACTCTGGGACATTGCTCCAATCTGTTGCAGCTCTGTTTACTTTGATTGATTTTAAGGCTGTGACAAAAAAAAAATAAAATAAAATGAAAATTTAAAAACAAAGAAACCGAGAAGTGTCTTTTTTTATGAGTTTTACTTCACTAGTACAGATGCTTCTTTCCAGGTAGAATAATACTTTGAGCATCTGTAGCATCTTTCCATATGGATGGATCAAAGGAGCATTTCTCAGTTATAGCACTTTGTTTTGGAACAGGTAATTAGACAGAGGGCATTATAACAAAGCAGAATGCACAGTATTGCTTACAAAGGGAGACATGGGCAATGATCTGGAATCTACCTCTGTACAGCCACATGCCCCATGTCATGGAGGTTAACCTTTCGGAATCCAGCTTTTCAAAAAAATCAGGCCAAATGGAGCCCTGTGGTAACTCCCTTCTCAGCCTGAAGTCAGAGGCTGTGACACGCTGCAGATCTCGACTAATGGTGAACGCAAGCAATAAGCCATTTCTAGTCACCCGTCTGTGCCGATGCAAGTAATGAGGTGTTTATTTGTGGTGTCAGACCAAAAAAATCAGGTGCAGCCCTTTGCAACCCAGAACGTCTCCAACAAGATGTCGGTGTTTGGGTGCCCCTCCAGCAGCTCCTTTTGAGGCATGTTTGCGTGCCAATAACGTAGAGCAAGTGAAACAAACTTGATTTCTGCAGTCATAGAATCATAGCATTGTTGGGCTGGAAGGGACCTCGAGAAATCCTCTAGTCTACTCCCTTCACCCCACCCCCCCGCGCTGAGGGAGGACCAAGTAAACCTAGACCATCCCTGGCAGGTGTTTGTCCCACCTGTTCTTAAAAACCTCCAATGACGGGGATGCCGCCACCTCCCTCGGTAACGTATTCCAGTGCTTAACTATCCTTGTAGTTGTACCATGTAGATGGAAAGATATCCAATGACTGAGCAGAGCGAGGAGAAGAACGGCTTGGCAATACAGCCTTATTCAGAAGCGCACTAGGTGAATTCCCCAGCCCCTGCTGACCAATTGGTAATAATAAACATGGAGACTGGTTTTCATCTAACAAGCGGTTTGCTGAGCACTGCAGCCTGCCCTGCGCTCTTAAAGGGCTCCAGGTCCATTGTTTGTGAACCCATAACTTACCGAATCCCCAAAGACCTCTGAGAGAGACCAGAAGAGAGTTCTTTTCACTGGCAGGGGGGGCAGATTGAGTCAAGCAGTACCCATACAATAGAGGGAGCTGACGATATCTGAGCCTCCTCCTGAAGCCTGCTGTGAATCTGCTTTGATACCACTTGCCTTTTAGAGGTTCCAGCATGGCGTTGTACAGCAGCCACAGATTTGGGCTTGGACCAAACACTTAGATTGTTCGCTGTTCCTGTCTGCTGTGTTTGTACAGCACCTTGTGTTTGGTCCAGGGCAAGGGCTGCTGGGTGCTACTGCAGG